CACTAAACAGAACACAGAGAGTAGTCGTCAACAGAGTAAAGTCCGAGGCAGCTACGGTGAAAAGCTCTGTTCCACAAGGCACAGTAATAGCTCCCATCTTGTTCCTCATCCTCATTTTCCGACATAGACAAGGATGTCAGCCACAGCACCGTGTCTTCCTTTGCAGATGACACCCGAATCTGCATGACAGTGTCTTCCATTGCAGACACTGCAAGGCTCCCTGCGGACATCAACCAAATCTTTCAGTGGGCTGCAGAAAACAATATGAAGTTCAACGATGAGAAATTTCAATTACTCAGATATGGTAAACACGAGGAAATTAAATCTTCATCAGAGTACAAAACAAATTCTGGGCCCCAAATAGAGCGAAACACCAACGTTCAAAGACCTGGGAGTGATTATGTCGGAGGATCTCACCCTTTAAGGACCATAACATTGTATCAATCGCATCTGCTAGAAAAATGACAGGATGGATAAAGAGAAACCCTTTAAAACTAGGGAGGGCCGGAAACCCCTGATGACACTCTTCAGGTCACTTGTTCATCTAGCTGGAAAATTGCTGCACACTAACAGCACCTTTCAAGGCAGGTGAAATTGCTGAAACCCAGAAAATGTACAGAGAACCTTCACGGCACGCTAAAAAAGGAGATAAAACACCTCAATTACTGGGAGCGCTTGAGGGTTTCCCAAAACCCGTATTCCCTGGAATGCAGGCGGGAGAGATACATGATTATATTTCACCTGGAAAATCCTAGAGGGACTAGTACCGAACTTGCACACGAAAATCACTCACTACGAAAGCAAAAGATTTGGCAGACGATGCAACATCCCCCCAATGAAAAAACAAAGGGGTGTCACTAGCACGTTAAGAGACCATACAATAAGTGTCAGGGGCCCGAGACTGTTCAACTGCCTCCCAGCATACATAAGGGGGATTACCAACAGACCCCTGGCAGTCTTCAAGCTGGCACTGGACAAGCACCTAAAGTCAGTTCCTGACCAGCCGGGCTGTGGCTCGTTCGTTGGTTTGCGTGCAGCCAGCAGCAACAGCCTGGTTGATCAGGCTCTGATCCACCAGGAGACCTGGTCACAGACCGGGCCGCGGGGGCGTTGACCCCCGGAACTCTCTCCAGGTAAACTCCAGGTAATATGCAACCGATTATAATGTAATTATACCCACGAGGAAAATGATAGGATGGATAACTAGAAATTTCAAAACAAGAGATGCCAGGCCAGAGATGATCCTCTTTAAGTCACTCGTTCCCTCTAGGCTGCAATATTGCTGTGCCACTGACACCACTTTTTTAAGGTGGGCGAAACTGCAGACCTAGAGAATATACAGAGAACTTTCACTGCTCGAGTAAGTCCAGTTAAACATCTAAATTACTGTGAATGTTTGAAGTTCCTTAACCTGTACTACCTGGGACAAAGTTCCTTGATCTGTACTACCTGGGACAAAGTTCCTTCCGACCTGTACACCCGGGACAAATTCCTTAACCTTACTACCGGGGAAAAATTCCTTGACCTGTACTACCTGGGCAAAGTTCCTTGACCTGACACCGGGGGAAAGTTTCCCTTGACCTGCACTACCTGGGACAAAGTTCCTTGACCTGTACTATGGGAAAATTCCCTTTTAACCTGTACTACCTGGGAAAAAAGTTTCCTTACCTGACTACCGGGGACAAATTCCTTAACCTTACTACCTGGACAAAGGTTCCTTCCCGTTACCTTTGGGAAAGCTAACTTACTACTGGGACAAAGATCCTTACCTGTACTACCTGGGACAAAGTTCCTTGACCCTGCACTACCGGGACAAAGTTCCTTGACCTGAATACCGGGGACAAAGTTCCTTGCCCTGACAAAACCTGGGACAAAGTCCTAACCCTATTACCTGGGAAAAAGGGTTCCTTGACCTGTTACCTGGGACAAAGTTCCTTAACCTGCCAAACCTGGGACAAGTTCCTTGACCTGTACTACCGGGAAAAGTTTCCTTAACCTGACCCCCCTGGGACAAAGTCTTGACCTGCACTAACTGGCCCAAATTTCCCTTGGGACCTGCACTACCTGGGCCCAAAGTTCCTGACCTGTACTACCTGGGACAAGACTTCCTACCTGACACCTGGGCCAAATTTCCCTTGATCCTCACCGGACAAAGCCGATGTACAGGGACAAGTCACCGAACCTGGGACAAAGCCTAACCGGGGACATGGGACAAATCCTAACCCTGTACTACCTGGGACAAAGTTCCTTAACTGTACTAACCGGGACAAAGTTCTTAACCTGTACACTGGGACAAAGTTCCTTACCTGCAATACCTGGACAAAGTTCTTAACCTGTATACCTGGGACAAATTCATACCTGACTCCCTGGGACAATTTTTCCTTGACCTTACAACCTGGACCAAAGTTCCTTGACCGGCACTACCTGGGACAAAGTTCCTGACCTGAATACCTGGGAAATTTCCCTTCCCTGTAACCTGGGACAAAGTTCCTTGACCTGCACTACCTGGGACAAAGTTCCTTGACCTGTACTACCTGGGACAAAGTTCCTTGACCTGCACTACCTGGGACAAAGTTCCTTGACCTGTACTACCTGGGACAAAGTTCCTTAACCTGCACTACCTGGGGAAAAAGTTCCTTACCTTACTACCTGGGACAAAGGGTTCCCTTTAAAACCTGTACTCCCTGGGACAAAAGTTCCTTGACCTCTACTACCGGGGACAAAGTTCCTTGCCCTGCACTCCCTGGGACAAAGTTCCTTGACCTGTACTACCTGGGACAAAGTTCCTTGACCTGTACTACCTGGGACAAAGTTCCTTGACCTGTACTACCTGGGACAAAGTTCCTTGACCTGTACTACCTGGGACAAAGTTCCTTGACCTGCACTACCTGGGACAAAGTTCCTTGACCTGTACTACCTGGGACAAAGTTCCTTGACCTGTACTACCTGGGACAAAGTTCCTTAACCTGTACTACCTGGGGACAAGTTCCTTGACCTGCACTACCGGGGACAAAGTTCCTTACCTCTAACTACCTGGGCCAAAGTTCCTTGACCTCACTACCTGGGACAAAGTTCCTTGCCTGCACTCCCTGGGACAAAGTTCCTTGACCTGCACTACCTGGGACAAATTTCCTTAAACCGGGACTACCGGGGAAACAAAGTTTCCTTGACCTGACTACCTGGGACAAAGTTCCTTGACCTGTACTACCTGGGACAAAGTTCCTTGACCTGCACTACCTGGGACAAAGTTCCTTGACCTGCACTACCTGGGACAAAGTTCCTTACCTCACTACCGGGGACAAAGTTCCTTGACCTGTACTACCTGGGAAAAAGTTCCTTGACTGCTCTACCTGGGACAAAGTTCCTTGCCCCTGCACTACCGGGGACAAAGTTCCTTGACCTGTACTACTGGACAAAGTTCCATACCTGCACTACCTGGGACAAAGTTCCTTGACCTGACTACCTGGGCCCAAAGTTCCTTGCCTGCACTACCTGGGACAAAGTTCCTTGACCTGTACTACCTGGGACAAAGTTCCTTGACCTGCACTACCTGGGACAAAGTTCCTTGACCTGTACTACCTGGGACAAAGTTCCTTGACCTGTACTACCTGGGACAAAGTTCCTTGCCCTGATACTGGACAAGTTCCTTGACCTTACTACCTGGGACAAAGTTCCTTGACCTGCACTACCTGGGACAAAGTTCCTTGACCTGACTACCTGGGGACAAATTTTCCTTGACCTGCACTACCTGGGGACAAAGTTCCTTGACCTGACTACCTGGGACAAAGTTCCTTGACCTGCACCTGGG